ACTAAAGAAACAGACCTATTTTGGCAACAAATAGAAGATATATTAAAAGATGCTGATAATTACAACGAACAAAACTCAGATCTATTTAGTTAAAACACACCACAACAAAGTACTAACCAAAATGACCTTATTGATTTATGTACCGAGGACATATCTATCTTTGAAAACTCCTTAAAAAGTAATACATTAAAAATAAATGACGATATAGATAATATATCTCTCTACAAGTTCAAGTTGACCCATATGCTCACACTGAGATAGCACACGAAATAGAAACATTACTAAATGATCAAATTGAAAATATTGAAAACCATAACGACAGTGACGACATTACTATACATTCTAATTTAACTCAATCCGACTTTTGAAATACCCACAATAAAGACAGCTGTGAACTACGAACAAAACCAAATAATTATCAGTGACGTACTATATTCACTAGCTACCCCAAAAATAAAAATTCTTTTCTAGAAAAAAGACGAATTTATGCTCAAATTTTAAAGAATAATCTTGAATCAGATGTATTTAATTTTATAAAAAATTACATTAATCCAGACGGAGTTCATTACATTTATTTAGAAAATCCTAATATGTTTGAGCCATTCTTAGTAATCCTACAAAATTATTTTAAAAACTCTGCTATCAAATTTAAAAGATGTACCGAAAAATTATTATACATTACAAACAAAGACGAAGTTAATGAACTTCTACAAGCCTATCACGAAGGCAAAACAAACCACAGGAATATAGACGAGACATACTTGAGACTTAAAGACAAATATTATTGGCTTTCATGAAAAACTCGATACAAACTTACATAAATAATTGCGAAATTTGCCGACAAAGCAAATACGAAAGAAATCCCGTAAAAATAAAAAATGAATCAAACCCCTACTCCAACAAAATCCTTTCAATTCTTATATATAGGTACATTTACTCTTGAAGGTACCAAATTTTTTAAAATCGTTGACATTTTTCATAATATGAGCAAGCATATCATCTAACAAGTCTTTGTAGCACCGAAATCGTTAACAACCTTATAACATTATTCTCTCACCATGGTATCCCTCAACAAATATATACCGACAATGGTACTGAATTCAAAAATACCGTAATTACAGAACTTCTCAACCTACATAAAATTAAAATACATGTTTGTTGTCCTGGACACCCACAATCACAAGGTTCCATAGAAAGACTACATTCGACAACTATAGAACACTTAAAAGGCTCTCTTAAAACATCAATTACTTTGGCCTTATGCGATTATGGCATATAATAACTCTATACATTCTACAACCCAGCGAAAATCTATAGACATAATTAACGTACATATGAATACAGACGACCTTTGAAACTTAGATGTTGACAAAATTCTTATTCATGACTACATAAATGACCACAAAGAAAGAACAAAACTGCTATATTCAAAAATTAATGAAGATTTTTTAAAAGAAAAACAAAAACGTATCGAAAAAATTAATAAAAGCCTTGATGACCCTAACATTTTTTAGCAAAACCATAAAACATTTGTTAAAAAGCATATAAGGCAGAAACAAGCCAACAAATTCAATAAATCTACTGAAATAAAAAAATGTCAATATCGAAAATAAAACTGTTTCTTTATATTCAAAAAACAAAATTCACATGGACAATCTCAAACGACCTTTGCAAAAAACTTACGATTTTCCTAACTAAAACAGCTATATCGTTTTTAAAGTTAAAAGTTATGCATCCTAGTATAATAAGAACTAAAGATATTTACAACGAGTTAAAAGCACAACAAAATTGAAGATAGGTAAATTATGTATAGAAATAAATCGACACAATATTTGAATTTTTTATAAATTAATTAAAATTTATAGCTTAATTTTTAAGAATAGAATTACTTATACGAATACCATAATAGCATTTTAGATTACTATCATTTATATTTAATATATCATACCAATTGGAACGCAAGGTCAATTAAAAGCAATAATTACAAAAAATAAATTCTTATTAAAAAAAGATAAGCAATACGTATTTATAAGCATGCCCCTTCCAAAACTCTATCGAACAAAACAGTACTTTTGCGAGAATATTGAACCACAATTTATCAAGGAAGAAAATCCTTGTAAAGTCAAACTTCTAAATATCAAAAACACCTCCGCTTGCCACCAAACACGAATCGAAATTACGGAACCATACTTCGAATGATTAGAAGATACGAATTAATGGATTGGCATCCTTCCTTTTAAAGAAACAATCTCTCTCCTCCGTGAGAACCAACAAGAAGTTATAGAAGCTATTGGCACCTACCTTATGAATATTCCAATCGATTGTTCAATAAATATGCAACAAAAGAAAATTGTCAACAGAAACAATAGCGAAATTATTGGTCAACCCATCTTCTTTCCTGAACTGCAAGTCGACACCCAATGCTCAAATCAAACTTTAAGAAATTAACCTAGATGAACTGCAGGATATTAAATCAAAATTTTTTGAAAACCATTCAGATCCAATATTCCGTATAATTCGTTCCACGCCGAGCATCTGGACAATAGTTATTTACTGTCTCCTGATCCTACTTGGGGGAACTCTAGCTTTCAAAAAACTTCGTACCATCTACACACACAAAAAGCAAGAACAATCAATAGACCTGGCCAATGTTCAACTTCGTGAACCCTCGAAGTTGAATTTCCGAAGGGAGGAATTACGTCAACTTTCCTTATGGGAATTGAAGAGTCAACGACTTTTTCCTAGAAATTATTATGGCGTATCTTATTTCATTATTCTGGTTAACAACATTTTTATGTGAATTATTTACTTGCTAATTAGATGGATTATGTTAGATGAAATAAAACTTTAAAATTTTAAAATATTTAAAAAAAAAACGAATTTTCAGATCAGAAAATATTTGTGACGATATTTTTTAGTATGAATGCGTAAATACAATAGTAATAAAAGTAATAACTACAATTTTTTTAAATGAAAAATTCAAATTAATAATTTTCATTCATTTTATAGAGTGGTTAGATAAATGTGATTTGATATTTCATTTAATTATTAAACGTCATTGTTAAACATTTTAAAAATGTGGTTTGAAATTGCAGAATTAGCGGCTGAGGCCGCGTTAAATTTATTACCTATCTGTAAAATCCAAGCATTTATATATACTACAATGAATATGAAAAGTTAGTATTATGGATGGAGCACACTCAAAATATAAGTCGATAATGTAAGCGTATATGTTGGAAATGTCCAAAAGGATCCCGCAATAATCTTATGGAAATTGGGTTTCTGTCAAATTGTCTGAATTTTTGATATGTTGTAGATTTTATCATCATGAACAAAAGTCTCTATGGGCACAAAGGGCCAAAATGAATATTTGCCAAAGCTCCCCTGACCTGTTGCAAAACTATTCATTTTCAATACTATTTACAGATGTCAAAAGCAAATTTTAATTATTCTAATATATAGGGTAATGTTTTTGAGGTCACTAGATTTAACCCTCATGTCAGATTGGACAAATTGACCGTTGACAGCCGTCAATTCACGGTCAACGAGGACTATAAAAGTAAATATCCACTTTTCACATTGATAGTTTGGGTTTTTATGGTCGCTGAATTCAATTCTCATGTCAGATTGGACAAATTGACGGTTGACAGCTGTCAATTAACTGTCAACGAGGAATATAAAAGTAAATATCCTCTTTTCACATTGAGAGTTTAGGTTTTTGAGGTCGCTGAATTCAATTCTCATCATCAGATTGGACAAATTGACAGTTGACAGCTGTATATTGTATCTCTACTTTAGTTACAAATATATTTTAATTATTTTATTAATTATTCTTATCTCTACTTTACAAATTATTCTGTGCTTTAGTTACAAATATTTCTTTATATTCTATTAGTTCTTGCTCTGTTCTTTAGTAATACATATTTTATAATCATTCTATTAATTCTTGTCATCTCTACTGTTACAAAATAAAAAATATTTTATGACAAATTGGAAAAATTGACGGTTGACAGCTGTCAACTATCAATTTGTCCAATCTGACATGAGAATTGAATTCAGCGACCTCAAAAACCCAAACTCTCAATGTGAAAAGAGGATAATATTTACTTTTATATTCCTCGTTGACAGTCAGTTGACAGCTGTCAACTGTCAATTTGTCCAATCTGACATGAGAATTGAATTCAGCGACCTCAAAAACCAAAACTCTCAATGTGAAAAGAGGATATTTACTTTTATATTCCTCGTTGACAGTGAATTGACAGCTGTCAACGGTCAATTTGTCCAATCTGACATGAGGGTTGAATCCAGTGACCTCAAAAACATTACCCTATATATTAGAATAATTAAAATATGCTTTTGACATCTGTAAATAGTATTGAAAATGAATAGTTTTGCAAGGGGTCAGTGGAGCTTTGGCAGCTCCGGAGCTGCCAAAATATTCATTTTGGCACTTTGTGCCCATGAAGACTTTTATTCAGGATGACAAAATCTACAACATATCAAAAATTCAGACAATTTAACAAAAACCCAATTTCCATAAGATTATTGCGGGGCCCTTTACAAATCTTCGTCACTTTCGTGTATTCGTCAAAAACAGCAAGCTATCATAAGGGTTAAAAATGGAATAGATTTAGTATCTTATCACAAGTTGCATTCGTTTATGAAAGGAGCGAGCAGAGGTTAGGAAGTAAAAAATCTTTAGTTTTTATCGAAGAAGATTTAGGTAAGTTTTTCAGTCAGGCTCCAGACAATACGTTTCTAGTTTATTCTATTCAAGTTACTTGCTTTTAAGCAAAGTTGTAAACAATTTAATTAATTTGATAATTCAAAATAAAATCTAACATAATCTAATATTATTTATTGAAGCGGTTACCTAGCAACCTTTATACGCACGACGTGCGATAAAGACCCAAATATGCACGCTTTTGGTTTATTTCGGATGGCTTATAATACACGGATACTAAAAAATATTTTTTTTATATAAAAAATAAATAACTTACGATAATGATTTGGCCAGAGCGTAACTCGTGGTATTTGGAACCAATCGGTCAAAAATATCTGTGTGGATGGTCCTGACTCTGTAGTATCCTTCCAAACATCGTTTAGTTTTTTCAATTTCCATTTTACAGTTGAACAGTGCCACTTTTATTTTTTCATTGATGGTATCTAAATTAATTAAAAAAAAACTATAGTATATTATTAAACGAGGAATTTATGGTAGCCATTATTCACGCAGGGTGACGTTTGCGTCCCGAGCCGTAGGCGAGGGGCGCAAGTCATTCGAGTGAATAATGGCCATAAATTGCGAGTCTAATACTATACTTTGTCCACGACCATTATGGTTTCTTTATTAAATAAAAGTTAAGTGTGAATGGAAAGTTTTTATTAAACATAGGTAACTAACTGTTGTTTTTCAACTTTTCGATTTTTCGTTTTTATCGATTTTTTTTTCGATTTTTCGATTTTTTTTTCGATTTTTTTTTTCGATTTTTTTTTCGATTTTTTTCGATTTTTCGATTTTTTTTCGTTTTCGATTTTTTTCGATTTTTCGATTTTTTTTTTTCGATTTTTCGATTTTTTCGATTTTTCGATTTTTTTTCGATTTTTCGGTTTTTTTTATTTTTCGATTTTTTCCGATTTTTTCGATTTTTTTGATTTTTTTTCGATTTTTCAAATTTTTTTTTCGATTTTTCGATTTTTTTTCGATTTTTCGATTTTTCGATTTTTCGATTTTTCGATTTTTCGATTTTTCGATTTTCGATTTTCGATTTTCGATTTCTCGATTTTTCGATTTTTCGATTTTTTGAGTTTTTGATTTTTAGATTTTTCGATTTTTCGATTTTTCGATTTTTCGATTTTTCGATTTTTCGATTTTTCGATTTTTCGATTTTTCGATTTTTCGATTTTTCGATTTTTCGATTTTTCGATTTTTTGATTTTTCGATTTTTCGATTTTTCGATTTTTCGATTTTTCGATTTTTCGATTTTTCGATTTTTCGATTTTTCGATTTTTCGATTTTTCGATTTTTCGATTTTTCGATTTTTCGATTTTTCGATTTTTCGATTTTTCGATTTTTCGATTTTTCGATTTTTCGATTTTTCGATCTAGAAAATATCGTTATGAAAAGTATCGCCTATCTTTAGTTATCTTTTGGAATGTGCCAGAATTACAAAAGCGTGAATTATCATAATTCACTCCGTGATATATGGGTACTATATTCTCTTAGTTAGGAGGTAGAATATTGATTTATTATTAAGTGGTCGTGGACAAAATATTTTTTTCTACCAAAGAACATTAGTACTGGTCATTAATTATAATAATTATATTTGCTATCAAAATCATACCAGGGTCGAACATTTAACTACGTTGGTTAGACAATGGTTTCATTAGGGACCAAAGTCGACTAAGTTAAACACTACTATAGTAGAAATAAATAATTCCGAAAATATTTGTGATTTTATTTAATCCTACATGTAACTGACTAAAAATAGCAAAATTACTTTATTTTGGGGGTAAGATATTGATGAAATAACTGTACCATTTTAAGAGTGGAGCCTTTTAGTTGCATAACAAATTTATGGCAAATATTTACAATTCCAAAACCACTGAAGTTTTTATATACCAAAAAAAGATCTGCAACTACGTTAAAAGGAAATAAGGATTTTATTTAGATTAAAGAGACAGGAGATGTAACATTGCACATAGCGCCACTTTTGAAATGCACCTTGGTCTCGTAGTACATACGCTTTTTTTGTACCACAGGGACTAAAACTTAGAAATTTACACGATAATTATATGAAAACAAAGACCTAATATTATTTCATAACGAATATTTAATCGATTACTTACTGATTATGAAAGAAATATTAAAAAACTAACCAGTCGGGAGTTTGAACCTGAATCCTCTACTTACAAGCCACGCATTATACCGTTGTGCCACACTGACATACTAAGATTATTGCAGCATTTTACTAAAGTATGGGACTAACGTAAACGTTTAATAGTAAAAAAAATGTTTGTTTAGGACCTCACGACAAATGTGAAAACCTTTACTATTTTCTGGAAAATCAATAAATTTATTCACTTATAAAAGTGGTCTTGTTATATTACCTCCCGAATAAAGTAGTTTTCTATGGTTTCTATTGGATTTGTTATTTGCGGGACTAAAATTTTTTAATCCTTTGGGACTTTATATTTTGGTCCGAAGGGAGTAAAAGTAACACTTCAGTCCCTTAAATGAGGTAGTAAAATGCATGTCCCTGAGGTACAAAAAATAAGAAATACATTTGTTTTTAGCGGTAAATATGTTTTGATATAAAGCCGCCATATTCCTTTGGCCTGAATACATCAGATCTGCATTAAGTACAAAATGTTAAACATTTAATTTAGAAAAAAATAAATATCAATGTTTTTAGCCCTTTTTGGAAAAAAATAAGAAGAAAAGAAGCATAGTTAATAGCGAAATTTTATTTTTATAAAAATATTAGATAAAATACAGGATGACCTACTTAAAATTTCAAAGTTAATCTTATTTGCGGTCAAGTCGAAAGTGACATTCGAATCTTAAGTATTAAAACAAAGTAAAACGCACAATATGATCTAGTATAGACAAAAAAAAATACTAAAGTTACGGGAGTTAGTCACATTTTTAATAAATTGTAACACTATAAACCACTAAACAATTCGAAAAAAAAAAAAAATGTATCCTAAAAAATCTAAATTCTTGCAATATTAATTATTAATTATATAATGGAATGCGGTCTTAAAGATAACAGGATCAAAAAATCCGAATCTCTAAATTTTGGAGATAAATATTCAGATAAAAGCAAGCAACTGAATAATGGATCATTCTGTTATTTTTTTTATGAAAATCGATTTATCAGTTATAATTAATCGATTATTTTCGATTAATCAAATATTTTCCATAAATAATTTTCGTTTCTTCAAAGAAAATGGAAATGTCGATTTTAAAGGAAAACAAAAATAAATTTATTGAAAATAATCGATTGATTAAAAATAATCAAAAATAACCGAATTTTTTTTTTTTTTAGAAAAATCCATTAACCGTTTAATCGGCTTTTTTAATTAGTCGATTATTTTAGATTAGTCGAATATTCGAACAATATATTTTAAAGGAAATATGAAAAATAGATTATATGAAAATAATCAAATATTACCGGTTATTTTATATAATCGATATTTCGGTTATTTTTTAGACTTGTCGATTTTCCAGTTAATCGGAATTTTAATTAATCGATTGTTTTCGATTTTACCAAGACAATATAATCAATTTTAAAAGAAATACGAAAAAAATAAATAGATTATTTGAAAATATTCGATATTTTGTTTATTTTTTGGTAAATCAATTTATCGTAGAATTGAATTCATAATTAACCTATTTTCGATTATTTTCGATTTAGCGAAAATAAACAAATAATCGATTTTAAAGCAGATACGAAAAATAGATTATTTTATAATAATCGATTGATCGAAAATAATAGATTATTTAAAATAATCGAAAATTCGGTTATTTTTATCGGTTTAGTAAATCTAATAGTTATTATGACAATAATAAATAAAGGCCGTCCCTGTCACAGAGTTAGGGTCTCCTCCCAGTTTCCCCACTCCGTTAATATTTCATAAGAAATTGACATGCGCGCAGGTTAAAACACTTGTTTGTGTGTGTGTGTGTTACATCTTTGGTCTCTTTTTTCTAAGGGATTTTAGTATGATTACAGTTGTAAATGAAAACCCAAAGTCATCTTTTAAATGGTGCTGGTGCAGAAATTCTCCAAATGTGTAAGAAATTTTGGAGTTTGTACATATCTCCTTCGATACTAGCTAATACGTACGAAAAATATAATAAGAATAAACGAATATTTAATTAAAACAGCCAAAACCATAAAAAACCAAGTCTGGTGAATACTTGCTAAACAAAGAATCGAAATAAATTTTTTTGTAAAAAAATTAGATAAAACAAAAGAAAAAAGAAAACAGAAGGGGAGGTAAAAAAACTGATACAAAGGAAATACAATGGCAGTAACAAATTGCGCGTGTGTGTGCTGTGTGTGTGTGTGTGCTGTGTGTGTGTGTGTGTGCTGTGTGTGTGCTGTGTGTGTGTGTGTGTGTGTGTGTGTGTGTGTGTGTGTGTGTGTGTGTGTGTGTGTGTGTGTGTGTGTGTGTGTGTGTGTGTGTGTGTGTGTGTGTGTGTGTGTGTGTGTGTGTGTGTGTGTGTGTGTGTGTGTGTGTGTGTGTGTGTGTGTGTGTGTGTGTGTGTGTGTGTGTGTGTGTGTGTGTGTGTGTGTGTGTGTGTGTGTGTGTGTGTGTGTGTGTGTGTGTGTGTGTGTGTGTGTGTGTGTGTGTGTGTGTGTGTGTGTGTGTGTGTGTGTGTGTGTGTGTGTGTGTGTGTGTGTGTGTGTGTGTGTGTGTGTGTGTGTGTGTGTGTGTGTGTGTGTGTGTGTGTGTGTGTGTGTGTGTGTGTGTGTGTGTGTGTGTGTGTGTGTGTGTGTGTGTGTGTGTGTGTGTGTGTGTGTGTGTGTGTGTGTGTGTGTGTGTGTGTGTGTGTGTGTGTGTGTGTGTGTGTGTGTGTGTGTGTGTGTGTGTGTGTGTGTGTGTGTGTGTGTGTGTGTGTGTGTGTGTGTGTGTGTGTGTGTGTGTGTGTGTGTGTGTGTGTGTGTGTGTGTGTGTGTGTGTGTGTGTGTGTGTGTGTGTGTGTGTGTGTGTGTGTGTGTGTGTGTGTGTGTGTGTGTGTGTGTGTGTGTGTGTGTGTGTGTGTGTGTGTGTGTGTGTGTGTGTGTGTGTGTGTGTGTGTGTGTGTGTGTGTGTGTGTGTGTGTGTGTGTGTGTGTGTGTGTGTGTGTGTGTGTGTGTGTGTGTGTGTGTGTGTGTGTGTGTGTGTGTGTGTGTGTGTGTGTGTGTGTGTGTGTGTGTGTGTGTGTGTGTGTGTGTGTGTGTGTGTGTGTGTGTGTGTGTGTGTGTGTGTGTGTGTGTGTGTGTGTGTGTGTGTGTGTGTGTGTGTGTGTGTGTGTGTGTGTGTGTGTGTGTGTGTGTGTGTGTGTGTGTGTGTGTGTGTGTGTGTGTGTGTGTGTGTGTGTGTGTGTGTGTGTGTGTGTGTGTGTGTGTGTGTGTGTGTGTGTGTGTCACATAACTCATGAACCGATACACAGAAAAACACCAAATTTTAAACTTAAGCTTTGTTCCAGCGTCCAATGAGAAGATTAGATTTTGGGTAGAGTCGGAACATCTGGGGGGGTACTTAATGGGTGATAATTTTGATATTTTATGAAATATATCTGTTATTTACGTTTGGGGAAGAAAATTATTTAAATAAAAGTTACTTCTTATATTATTATCTAAAATGTTTGTTCAATACAAAATTTGCCTTAAATGGTCTGTATTCGAGAAATTTGACAAAATGTAAAAAAAATATTTTTTTATAAAAATTGTTTAAACAAAAGTTATTTGTAATATAATTCTCTATAATTTTTATCCTTTACATAATTTCTTTAAAATGTTCGAGATATTTGAGAAAATGTGTAAATTTATAAATTTGAAGAAAACTCAAAAACGGATAAAGAAAAAAAAGATTAAATTTTAAACTTTAGTTTTATTTCGGCCTGACGTGAAATGATTAGATTTTGGACAAAGTCGGAACATCTGGGGGGTACTTTATGGGAGGCCGTTTTTATATTTTATGGAATATCTGTTATTTATGTTTGAAGAAAAAAATAGTTTAAATAAAAGTTACTTCTAATATTATTATCTATAATTTTTGTTTTATGTCAAAATTTCCTGAAATGGTCCGTATTCGAGAAATTTTACAAAATGTGCAAAATTCTGATTTTTTTGAAAATTGTTGAAATAAAAGTTGTTTGCGATATCGATCTCTATAATTTTTGTTAATACATGATTTTTCTAAAATGGACCGTAATGGAAAAATTGTAGGAAATGTGCTAAATTTAAATTTTTTGGTATTTTCGTTTTCAATGAATATCTATAGAAAAATGTTTCGAGGTAGATGTATGTGGAAAATGTATATATTTAGTTTATGCTCTAAACATTTATAGAGGTGCTGCAATAGGTTGTACAAAATAACCGGAAAAAGCCTGTTATAACTAGATAGGAAAATCATGTGTTGGATATATCAGATTTTTTGAAATATATTAGAATATAATTGAAAATATAGAAAAATGGAAATGGATTGTGGTCTGGTCAATTGGCCAACATAGAGCCAGTTTTTTGTTAACAGTTTAAACTTTCGTTCACCTGAACTTGAATCAAATATAGAACTAAGATTATTATCAATTGCATTTTTCAATCATGTCAGTATCACAGTTCAGATGATCCAAGTATAATTTATATTTGTAGTTCTGAATTAAGGTACTTCTGACAAAACTGAATGCTTTATATCAGTTTAACGTTTTTAAAAACATATTCATTAAAATAGAAGATGAAAAATTGTACAAAATGGAAAAAAATTGACGGACCGCCAATGTTTCGAGCAACCAAGAAGAATTGTTGGCAAATTTTGCTTACTTTACCCTTATGTACTCTATAAAAATAATTAATGGTAATTAGGAAATATTCCGAAACAAACAATTGTATAGTTAAGAGAATCATGACTTTATCAGTTAAAGCATTATTTCAAGAATACAAAATGTATGTTATTATAAATTTTATTATCTATAATTCGGATTTTCAAATCCTCCTATTTCGTTAATATTATACTGTTTTCTTGGACAAACGAAATCTTGCATATTCTCTTGGGTACTTATTATTTCGAACATAAAATATACAAAAATTGTGAAATATATTATGTCGATGTGAAAACATTGATCTTAGTTTAAACGCCCAACTTTGACCGTTCAATTTTTCGAAGAGTTTAAATTAAGTTCAGACGTGAACTACATTTTAAATACAGCATCTTTCAATTAAACCCAGTTCATTTAGTCAACTCAGGTTAAACATTGATTGAAACACTGGCCCTAAAATTATAATATCATGATATTTGAGAGACATAACAATATGGTTAAATAAATAAATTTGTACTGATAGCAAAATCTGAATATATTAAGACAATACAAACAACGAAAAGGAACACGCCAAGGCTAATAAAGTCAATTATTTAGAGATATATTAATTGAGAACTGGACTTTGTGAGATAGTTGAGAAAACCTAGTAGTTAAGAAGGTAGTAAATCAAAGGTGATCCTAAACTAATAGCGTTTATGTCACATTAGGAATGGGATAAACAACTGAAGATTCTCTGCTTTAGTTCAAAAACACAGGATGTTAATATATAAGTTAAAAATTGAAAAATTAATTTTACTAAAATCGAAAACGTATTTAGTGTCATAAGATACACCAGTAACAGCAGAAAAATCAGTTATATTTTAATATACTTTGCCAGTGGCGTTAGGGTTGCCAAACGTCATGATTTTAACAGGTTTAACTGGTAAAATATTTATTCTTTTAAAAGTAGGAAAAAAAAGTAAAAGTATTTATTTTTGACATTCCTATACCTATTCAATCATTTATTCATCATATTATTAAGATTTTATTGGGTTTCGACGTTTAGACTCGTACACTTTTTAAATTTTATGAATTATAAATTTTATTTCCTTAAATATAAATTATTTCTTTTAAAAAAATAAGGTGCCGTTTTTTTAACATCTTTTTGATTTACTTCATTTTGAGATATTATAACCTGGCAAACCCTAAGTATCGTATCTCATGCGAAACACCTTTATCCCTTCTAAATATTAAGTATGTAACAGTCCAAACACTAATTTTATATATAATTTTCAAATATTTTTGATGTTTTTTAGTAAAATAATGTAGGTATTCTTGTTGGAAACTTATAGTGTAATTGATTTTCGATATATCCGAACTCAAAGTAATTTTAACTAGTCATTTTGTTAAATAGTAATTAACATTTAATTTGAAAACCTCAAAATAATTTTAATTATAGTTTGGGCAGTTACAAAACATAAAATTACTTTCCCATGCTGTACGTCACTGGTAAAATTTAATTAACAGATTTTTTTGCTGTTAGGTTATCGCATGACATGACACCAAACACGTTTACACATTTTAGTAAAGTTATACAAAGTTATAAAAAATTTTAAGCCATTATTAATTTTTCAGTTTTCAACTTTTAACATCAGGTATTTTGAAAATGAGTATTTTTTTATATGGTGGAGGAGCCAGTGGCACATTTAGGTATGTTATTTTAGCAAGACCAAATTGCAAATTTTTCGTTTATTTTTTCTTGTACAAACGACGAAGAATTAAGACTTCTTGTTCTTAAGGAGTCTTAAAAAACCATTTTACAAAATGCTAATAACATATTTGATTAGATAATTAACTTGACATAAACCTTCATGCCTCTGGTCGTTAAGTGCCCAACTTTGGATTTCGCCAACTGGGTTCAGCTGCCGACAAAAGTTCTTTTTTTTTGAAAAAAATATGAAAAATGAAAAAGTAGGACTAATGCTGCTTATTTTTTTATTGGGGTTATATTATGAAAAATAAAAAGTATTTTAAATAAATATACAGCATTAGTCGCACTTTTTCCTTTTTCATTTTTTCCAAAACAAAAACTTAAAAAAGATTGCTTTTATCTGGAATTCAAACTTGATCGCTTAACAACCTAAGTCTTGAATGCGTTTATGTCAAATTAATTACCTAACCAAATATGTGACATTAGCATTTTCGACAATGTCTTTTTTAAAACACCGTCATCATGCATTTCACTACTGGTGTGTCTACAGCAAAGTTTTCCATCTTCCACAACACAAAAAAAGATAAAAAATTTGTAAAGTTGCCTTTCGCAAAGAATTAAGTGTTATGGGACAACCCATATTTTATTTGAACACTAAGCACCAATGTACATAGGCATAGGAAATATATTTTAAAGTTAGTTTTAAGAACTTTAACATTAAAATAAACAAAACAATTTATAAATCAATCAAAATCTTTGCTGTAACAAAACATGTAAAATTGTCGAATTTAAAAGTTAATAGTTTAAAAAGGCAGAAGGATTTTGGTCAATGGCCTATTGGACTGAATATGCAGTTCAATAAATAACAATTATTATTATTACTACTCATCTAAAATATATGTTAATATTAAATGCTTGTGAATTTATGTGTAAATATATTTGTCCACGACTGTTCTATAAAACATTCATTATACTTGTACTTCCTTAAGAATAATAACACCTATTATTCACTAGTGAATAATGATGTAAATTCGAAAAAATAATCAATTTAAATAATAAATTAAAATAGATTAAAAGGTGTAAATATATTACTGTGGATATAATTTTATTAACAAAGCAAAAAAATATCGAGAAAACAACTATTTACCTTCTTTAGGAAGTCGAGTTTTGAGATACCATTCACGAACTATTTCGACTATTTCTTCAAAATCACGTTCAGACATATTATAATGTTTAAATATGGCCTTTTTTTCAGCATCGGACACCATCAGTAAATTCTTGACTTGTGAAGGCATTTCAAGATTTTAATTTTTGCTTTATCTGTCAAGATTTTCACTATTCACTGTTTACAAATTCAATCCCGAAATTAATTTATATTCGCAATTATAATAGATCGCGTCACATAATTTATGTTGTTTTTTTATGACTAATTCGATTAATTGTAGTGGGCTTTTAAAACCAGCCAGGTCCGGATTAAAATTAACTAAACTTTTGCATATCCTTGTCAAAAACTTTTGCAGGTAAGTTAATTTCATATAACTTTTCAGAAAAATAAAAAAGTTTCTGTTTATGTAGGTAGATTGTTTAAAGATAAATGAATTTAGATAATGGTATTTTGGAGACTATTTAAAATTGGTGGAATTAATAATTACCTAATAACTACACTATTTTCTTAATATTGCATTTGAAAAGAGCAAACTTATTTAAGTACGTGGAGCAATTGTTTTAAACTAATCGTCTAATTGTTTTGACAGCGTTTGGCTACAAACCCGTATTTTTGTGAGCAATGCTTGTTGCTTTAGAAATACTTGTATTGCCCCAGTGATCGACATTCGACCATATACGTTATTCAAAATTTGAGGAAAACATATCGTGCACCCGGAAGAAGAGAGTGACATCTCAAAATTACTCATTTTTCAGGAGAGGCGTTTAAAGATTATGTGTTTTTTATTTTTGTTGATATTTTTTTTTTAGTCATTGCTAGGATAATAATTTTTTAAGTTGGGTTACAGGCTTAGTGCCTTCATTGAATTGTATAATTTATTTTTTCCCATTGATTAAGATCAGGGAGAATTTATTAAAAGTATCTTTATTGAATATAAAATAGGCAAAGTTACTTTTATAATTTTCATGGGAAATAAAGGGTTTTTTGTTCAAAAATGCTCAAGAATTCAACGAAATAAAAAAAACATCTGCGTCGAAAAAATATTTATTACTTTAAGTATTAAAATGACAAGAAACAATTAAAGATTTGATAAAATACCCAATCTAAGAAACAACATTGCAAATGGAACTATGTTCGTCAATTAAACAATTAACTAGCATTTATCATACTAAGTACCTAGGTCAAAAAAATAAGAAGCAACTGAGTATTTCCCAAAATAAATAAAGTACAAATGAAAACATTGTAACTAAAAACTTTGTCAGAAAAATAACAAAAATCCGTTGCTAAAATAAATAATCTAAGAAACTACGTTTAATTGCAGAACAAACCAAAAATTCTTACTAAAAACAACAACATCTACAAACTTTCAAAAAATCTAAATAATACAAGGGCACACACTTTTTTTTTTTAATTAGATCTATCAGGCCATTCTTTTTTGTATCTGAAATACCAACTTTTGTTTTGTAAGCTGGCTAAAGATTGATATCTTGCTTTGGTTCTTGGCTTCTACGATTTTTAATAGTAATTTAAACTTGCTTAAATTCTTCATCGTATGAGGTCTTGTAGGATAAAATTTCCAAATTATTCTTATTTAATTCGAAAACTTTAATATCAGAAAATCGAAATTTTTTAGGAAAATTAATTTGCAAATCAGATGCTAAAGCTTTCAAATCTTTTACATTTAGATGGCATAATTCATGTACAACGTATGGGGTGCCTGTTTTTTTAGCTGTGCGCATAAGACATGCATACTGGTCGGGAGCATAAATTGAATTTGATTTTTTGTATCTTTTAATTTCTCTATCTATAGTCGTATGAACACTATCTCCTTCATTTTGAGAATGTCCGGTTATCATAAACTTATGGGTAATGGATTTTATATTAAATGATTTTATTGCAAACAAATAACTAGCGAGGACAAACTGGTTTTTGTTTTGGCCAGCACAATTATCTGAGTAAAATATTATTTTTAATCCATCTCCGGTATCTGTATTCTCACACATCTTTTGAAAGAAATCCAAAATGCAACTACCGATTTCGTTTGCTCCCCGATGAGCTTCTGCTTCATGCCATAGATAACAAGTTCCTTCTTTACTCTTTACGTCATACAAAGTAAAGTTGAAAACATTTAGTTTGGAAACATAATAAAAGCAGAATGCTACCCCTACAGGACATGGTAATATTGCTTGCATGTCATACACTACAACTTTTGTAAATGGATCTTCATTATTTTTATCTGCGTCTTTTTCTATCCTGCTTAAATCCTTTTCGCTTATATGTGTTTCATATTTTTCCTGCATAGCTTTTTTCTCTTCTTCTGTGCCATTGCTGTATTGCAAACACAATTCGCACTGGTCTTTTTTTGGTAAATGGAATGCAATATTAAACTCCTCATTAAAGATCTTGCAGTACATTAAATAGTTTGCAGCTGGTTTCTTTTGTGCTTCACATATTTTCTTGTAGTCGCGATGTAGATCTGCTATTGTTCTACTTCCCTCTATATACTCTTTTTTGTATGAGAACGGCAGTAATGACTGTCAATGCGAGGTATGGACTGTATGTCGTTTTTTATATTTTCATCAACTATGTAATGGTTTTCATGCTTTCCACGTTTATCAGTTTCTAATACAATTCCACTGTCACAGTGTTTTTGTTTCTTGATCACAATTTCAATCACTTTATTATTGATATCAAGCGTTGAGATGAAAAATTTTTTACACACTCTTACATTTCTGTTATCTATAATAAAATAGTATGCATTATTTGGTTTCCGTGGTTTTTCTACATTACTGTATTTATATTTTGGCGTAATTGTTTGCATGTTTAAAGAAATAAACTCTCTTTTTTGTTCAATACTCTGCAACTTCCAGTAATCTTCAAATATTTTCACCCTTTTATTTTCAGATATTTTTTCAAAACACTTCAGCTTACATTTATTATTACATGGGGGTTTAAGTGATCTTGCTGGGCGTTGTTTTTTAATTTTTTCTTTAGTACCATCTTCTTTTCTTATAACACTTAAATAACTGTAGCTTTCACCTGTATTTCTTAACTTCTTGCTTACTTTCTTTTTCCATAGTTCAGGATTCAATTTTCTTTTTTTAGCGGTTTTTTCAACTGAAGTTGGATTTTTTATTTTTCTTTTTTTGGTTGTTTCTTCAACAGACACTTCATTTTCAATGTCTGAGTCACCTCCTAATTGGGATGTAGGATCACCTACGCTATCATTGCTGCCAAAAGGATCTGACATAGATACGGACTTCGAACTGGATGACGAACTGGATGATGAGGAGGATGATGAGCTGCTCGATGATGATGATGTTGAACGCCTACGACTTTCATTATGTGTATTATTATTTTGTAATATTTTAGTACTGGCCTCAACGGCAACACTACTGATATTGTTATTAGGAATGCCTTTGGAAAACCCTTGAACCTCAGGAGAATTGTTTCCTAAAAAATAGGAAACAAATTGTTAAAAATCAAAATAGTTTGGGTTTATTTGTATTTTCAGTTTAGCTAAATATGAATTTAGAAAAAAATTCTTATTACCTGCAACCACTGTCTCTTGAAGATCAACATTACTTATCTTTATAGGAGTTTCAATAATGTGGGTATTTATTTGTTTGTGGATGACATTAGCAACCTTTTGAATGGAATAAGATTCGTTGCCTTAAAAAAAATTGGAAACCCAAATCAATTCAAGTGTTTTGTGCCGTTAATTTAGATGAATAATCAAGAAAAAACATGTATTACCTGCAACCAGAAGATTAGCAGCAATACTTTTTTTAATGGGAGCTTCAAATATAATACTATTTGATTGTGTGTCAGTATTCAGCTCATCGGCATTAGCTATGTTATCAGGGACAATATTTGTCTGAATATTTGGAGGTATATCAGTGTTTGCCTCATGGGAGACATAAGTAAAGTTATTCGGGAGGATATTAGCAACTTCTTGAATTTCATGAGATTCGTTGTCTAAAAAATTAGAAGTAAAGACAATTATTTACTTAAAATATTTTTTAATTAAACAAAAATAATTTTAATACCTGCAAACATTGCCTCCTGAAGGTCAGCCAAAGTTGAAGTATTTGAAGGTATATCACTGGTATTACCCACCACATTTTTCATAATTACCAACGTCCTCTTTTTATAAGACATTGTATACTCTTGTCTATCTAAAAACAAAATGACCCCTTTTATTAACACTCACGGCTTAAAATTAATTGTATAATTTAGGTTCTTGGAATAAGTTCAAAATTTATTATGTATATTTGAAAAACACAGTTATACACGCGCGTGATGTGCATGGAATTTGGGGAACTCATGGCACATGTAACTTTTTTCCTGGGGCAGCATATACAGTTTTGGTATATTGTAGACTGTTATATTTATTTCAAAGATGTTCCAGAAATCAAGTGTTATAATATTCCCTAAATTCCATGGACCACACGTTCCTGCAGCTATATTTGTTACACATAATTATTTAGAAATTATCGGAAAAAAGTTACAAAACAAAGAAAAATACGTCCAGGTTCGTTCATCTGTGACCAGCTTGTAAAAAAGACAGTAATATTTGTAAATGTCACACATAATTTTTAAAAAATTATTGAAAAGAAAGTAACAAAACATAAAAATACTAAAGATAATTCGCAGTAATTTTTAGAAAAAGGTTATAATTAGATATATCACTTTATTGAATAAAAAACTACTAAAAATAAAAGTAACATTTTGGCTTGTCACCTTATTGAATATAAATAAATTGTAGAAAAAGGTTATAATTAGATATATCACTTTATTGAATAAAAAATTTTTTTAAATAAAAGTAATATTTCGGCTTGTCACCTTATTGAATATAAATAAATTCATAAAATACTACTTACCTTAACATAAAAATGTATCACTTTTTCTAAACGGAAACTATCTTTTGCCACGAGACAACTCGAAATGTCACCTTTCTCCAAAAAATTCTTGACGCGTTCTTGTCAAAAGACACAGTCAAACTGAGATAACATCATCTTCTCAATACGTGCTGCGTGGAAATGCCGAATTCAGTAAAGCGACAACATACCATCTCTCGGTCAATAAGTAAAGCTCACATGTAACTTTTTTTTTTCATGATAGAATACAATATTTAAAATCGATTTCTGTAAATAACTCAATTTTACAAAATTTTGATATGTCACCTTCTTCTTCCAAATGCAC